ATCAGATTTCTAGCTTAGGTGACTTGGTGCATATAATTCAACTTAAAGTTATAGGAAACCCAAAAAGAAAAGTAACTTTCAGAAAGAGTAAACTACAACAGGCTCAGCACTGGAAATACTGAATCTGTAGTTGGAAATTTAGGTTGGGGAGGAGGAGTCACAAAAGAACTGTATGCAGCTTTATTTGATTACTTTATTCATTTAACAAGGGTATTTGAGAATCCACTATGTTGCCAGGAAGGTAGACCATAAAAATATAAAAATGGACAAGAAATGGTTGCTGCCCAGAAGATGAGAAACGTAATGCATCTGTAGGCAGAGGGTAGAGACTGGCAGACCAAGTTCTCAGAGGATGATACTTACATTCTCAACCTTGGCCACACATTAGAATCACCTGTGGGAACTTCTGAGCACCCCAATGCCTGGTCCATGCTCTGGGGTTGTGATCTAGGCATCAGTGGATGCTTAAACTCTCCAGGTGATGCCAATATGCAGCCAAGATTAAGAAAGCAGTAGCTCTGGGCTTCCCTGGTGGCGCAGTGGTTGAGAGTCCGCCTGCCGATGCAGGGGACATGGGTTCGTGCCCCGGTCCGGGAAGATCCCACATGCCGCAGAGTGGCTGGGCCCGTGAGCCGTGGCCCCTGAGCTTCCGCGTCCGGAGCCTGTGCTCCGCAACGGGAGAGACCACAGTGGTGAGAGGCCCGCGTAACGCAAAAAAAAAAAAAAAAGAAAGAAAAAAAAGAAAGCAGTAGCTCAAATCAGAAGAGAAGACCTAGGACACTTCCTTTGAAATATTTGGCAGTATTTGGGGGAGGAGTGTGGAGAAGGATAAGAGGTAGAAATAAGAGAACTTTATTGAAGGAGCTCCCTCCATATAGCTTGATGATTCATAGTTTCTCTGCGGAGAAAAAGTATCAAAGGCTAAAAATAAGAGTATATGAGAATAAGGCAGGCATCTTAGGAGAGTGGCAAAATTTTGCAGTAGGCTCTGCAGAGTGTGTGAAAAAGAGTTAATTAGGAAGAAGCAGAAGCATTTTAGGTAGTTGTAAAGGTTCAATGGAAGTTAGCAATGATGCATTGGTACAAGCATCCATCTACAAGGTTGTACAACTCTCCCTAATGATGCTTGGCAGTTTGAGAGTATGCACAGAGAAAACATTCAACCAGGAAGGTAGATTGATAGGTCACAAGGATAAAGGGAACTGAGAGTGCTGGTGAAAGTTAAAAATAGGACAAATAAAAACAAGGCATGGGATTGCAGGCCTTGATGATGATGAGAACACACTCAAATGAGTAAAGAAGTCAGAGATCAAAGGAGGGGGAATTTTGGTCAAAACTAAGTTTCCAAATCCAAGATTTAAAGATAGCAGAGTACAGGGTGAGTATGGCAATAGATACCTAATCACTCTTGCTACCTGTCTTTGCCCCTCTCCAACCCATTATCCACACTGCCCAAAACCTGATATTTCTAAGTTGAAGGTGTGATCATCTCTCCCCACCCTCATGCCTCAATCTGCCAGATGAACTCCATCAAAAGCCAGCTCAAGACAGGGAGATCAGGTGCTTTGTGACCACCTAGAGGGGTGGGATAGGGAGGGTGGGAGGGAGGGAGACGCAAGAGGGAAGAGATATAGGACATATGTATATGTATAACTGATTCACTTTGTTATAAAGCAGAAACTAACACACCATTGTAAAGTAATTATACTCCAATAAAGATGTTAAAAAAAAAAAAAAAGCCAGCTCAAGAAGTCCTAATTATCACCTCCCCTATTCTGGTAACTTAATACCCACCTCCTCTACACTTTCTCACCCTTGCCCAATCTTAAACAAGCTTTTACAGGTACCATTCACACACTGCTTTACAAGTTTGTTTCCCCTACTAGATTCTGAGTTCCCTGAAAGCTGGAACCAAGTATTATCATCTTTTAATCCATATTTCAACAATCTTCCTGATAAATGCAGCAAGTAGAAGTATTGATTCTGGCATTTCTTGTTTGCTTATGCTTGTATCAACACTTTTAATGATGATTTATTTGGGGAAAACTCTTTAGGCTACCTGTCCATTACTGTGAAGTTTTATTCAGTTAAAGCTAGATAGATAATATAATCTACAAAGACATGGAACCAGTCATAATGTATTATGTAACCATATGCTGAAGCACATAATCAAAGTAAAGTACTAACTTCAACTCTTCCAAGTTGTGGAATTCCAACTCTTCCCTTAGGATACTTCATTTACTGTTGGTTTGTGATGTGTGTCTATCTGATAAACACAAGGTGGGGAGACCAGTGTCAATCCATATTTTTAAAAAATTAATGAAACAAATTTTTCTATTTATTAGATAGAAGTAAACGCAAGCCAAACTTCTAATATATCTTTATGTGCCCCAGTGCATTATCTTGCACACCCATGAAGTATACATAACTCCACTTTCGATGTCATTGGTCTAAACATAAGGTAATCAACACTTTGTCAGCCACTACAAAAAAAAAACATTAAAATATATACTACCTAAAATGCCATTTTTATAAAAATTTTGTTTATTTTTTAAGCTAAAAACTTTGGGGATAATTTCAGATATTCAGCACTTTATATGAACTTTAAAAGACTGCTTTCCTAATACCTTGAACTATTGGAATAAGAAGTTAGTATGGCGGACAGAAAAAGAAAGTATTAAAAAGTGATCTGGAACACTTACAGAAAGACCAAGCCTCCAAATTAAAATTCAGGTTACTAGGTACAGGCTGGAGGTGAACATTTAAGAGCACTCTGGACTCCCCTAGGCATTTTATCATACTTATGACTACGTATTCAATTTCTGTTTTACGGGATTAGTTATAAACTCCCATGAGAGCAAGCACTGTCTGTCTTGTTGCCTGCTATATTCCCAGTTATAAGAACAATGCCATGTGGCACACAGATGTTCAAAAAATATTTACTAAATGAATGAATGAAAGAATGAAGTAGTATAACTGAAGTTTCAATTAAGAAACTAATCAAAGAAAACAACAATAAATAAGTACTAAACATTGAGCTTTAAGGAATACTTACAGTAAAGTCATCAGAAGTGCCAGCAAAATAGAGTGAGAAAGTCCAGGAGGTAGCAGGGAAACCAGGAAACAATAAGGCCCTGGAAAGAGGTGTGTTGTGGGAAAGAGCTGGGTAGAGTCACTGTGGAAGTCTGAGAAAAGGCCGTTTGATTTATCAGGAAGATAACTGGCAACCTCAGGAATGCTGTTTAGGTATAGTTACAGAAGTGGAAATCAACTGCATGGAACCAGGCAGGAAATTCTAAGATGGTAAGGAAATAGAGACAACACACTAGTCTTATGAATTTGTCAGTGAAACAAAAGAATCAGTATTATAGCTATAGAGGGCTCAACAGGAACAAGTGAAGATTATTTTTCAAATCAGGAGATCCACAAGTTTGAGGAAGAGGATCCAGAGTTTTTTCCTCTAATGGTGAAGGCGCTGTTGTGTTCCTTTTGTAGAAACAGGCATAGATTATGACAAATATACTTGTGAAGACAGACATCTGGAGATAAAATGTTTTCTACATAAAAATTTAAAATGGACAGTAAAGAACAAATTCCTGATTACATATTTCCTTTTCCATATTTCTGGAAAAATGAGAAGAAAGATAGATGGAGTCGACTCTTTCTTTTGTAGTTACCTTAGAAAGAAATGGTTGCTTCTGTCACCACCACAAAGAACACAAATATTTATGTTATCTGCTGTTCCTTATAATACCCTTAGGAACTAATCTTTGTGCCTTTAACATAGCTCCTACTGCTGTGACCGTTGTTTCAGTACAACGCTGAAGCATGAATGTGAGCTCATTTCATTGCCTGCCGGGCCTGCATTTTTCCAGTCCTATGGTAACACAAAGGCACAGAGACAAAAAATACATAGAGCTTTTTTTTACTCTTGAAATACTAATGTGTCTCCCTCCGTTCTTGCACCTGTTTTAAATTAGTTCAAGCATAGGCTGTATCCTGAAGACTGCTTTAGAAGCCATTTGGAATTACCGGGTTTTGAACAGATTTCACATCATATTCTCATTAGTTATTAAAATTCGCCTCGCTGAATAGTTAAGGGTTATTCTATCTCACTCACCATCTTATACGTTCTCCACCCGGCACTTGGTGTCCTGGGCACCGTATTTCGCACCAAGTATGCACCTAGTGTTGATCTTGTAATCCAGCACGTTAGGCAGTCACAAAATCCTTGTGGCAGCAAATAGAAACAGAACTGGAGCAGGGGGATGGAGGTGTCTCTGAAGGTTGTCAAGTAACCGAACTGAGAGCTTCCTGAGGGCAGGGACAGTCTTGTTCAGCATGGTATCTCCAGCACATGACTCAATCCTGGTACACGGCAGATATTCAATAATGCTGAATGAATGAGCAACAGGCTCGGTGGGGACATTAAATTCGACCCTGTACTGCAAACGTTCGCCAAGTGCCATCCAGGCGTCAGGGACCAGCGGGGCGCGGGTGCTACAAGATGACACGGAGCTGGTGGTTCTAATTTCACAGATACTGTAATTTTATGCTACAACTTCCACATTTTCACTTAAAACAAAAAGGGGGGATTTGGGCTGTCTCTGCTCTTGGTTCTCAGGGTCTTAATTGCAAACACGCAGCGCCTCAGCCGCCCAGCGGCGCGCAACTGACGACGAACACGACGCCTGGCCAAGCTCCCGGCGCGCCCCGCGGCGATCCTGAAGGGGTCGCTGTTCCCGCGATAACCTGTACAAAGGCTCCGCCCCGTAGCCCGCGCTCTTTTTCTCCGTACGGTACCCGGACTTTCACGTCCGGGTTGCCCGGTAGTCCTCTGCAGACCCACCGCGGCCCCTGCCGACGTCAGTGGCAGCACTCCCGGCGGGACAGGCCCTGTGTCTCGGCCGCCGCCGCCGCCGCCGCCGCCGCCTTGGCGCGCAGCCGGCTCCGAGGCGCTAGTTCTCTCCCCTCGCCCCACCCTCTCTCTCCCCCTTCACGGAAACGACAGCTGCGGCGGCGGGACTGGCGCCGCCTCCCTCCACCTACCACGTCTGCCCCCGCCACTCGCCCGGCGCCCCAGCCCGACCGCGGCGCCTCAGCCTCCCTGCTAGGTCAGCCGGCAGCTCTGGTCGGTTGCCTCCCAGGATGAACATCATGGACTTCAACGTGAAGAAGCTGGCGGCCGACGCGGGGACCTTCCTCAGTCGTGCAGTGCAGGTACCGCGGCGGGAAGAAGGGGTGGCGACTCCCGAAGGGGCCAGGGAGGGTTCACGCGAGGCGGCCGCGCCCTCCGCACCGGGCTTCGCCGACCGCCCGGCGGGCCTGCTGCGGCCGGAGGCCCGGGTGATGGGCGCGGCCTGGTGCCCCTCTGGGCCCGGCGGCCGTTTTCCTCCCCGCTCCTGCCCAGCCGCCGCTCCCGGGGAAGCGAGGCGGAGTGGGGACGGGGCCCGGAGCTTCCTCCCTTCTCTGGAGGTCGCCTTGATTTTGGCTTCGGGCCGAGGCACAGCACCACCCGCCTTTCCGACCTCACGACGCCGGTGCTCCTGTGACCTCCCTCCCGGGGCTGGCGGAGGCCTTGCGAGTCCGCGGCGAAACAGAGACCGTTCTTGAACCACCCCCACGCTTTCATTTCGTCTTTCTCACTCTCCTCGCCGAGTCCAAGAAGGAAGTTTCCTTTCCTTGCCCCTCAACCCAGAGAGCTGCCAGCACAGTTCCCTGCAGTCCTCTCTCACCCCGTCCGGTCCCTGGGCTTGGCAGTCCGCGGGAGAAATGGAGATCCCCAGTTGGCGTCCAGACTTTGCCAGGGCCACTGAGTTAGGGGGGTTCCCACTCATTTTCGAAATGGGAAGCACTGACAGTAGGGCAGTGCGAGAGAAAGGGAAGATTCATGTTGTGCTTATAGTCACAGGGACATTTTTCAAATACACTTTAAGGGGAAAAGTTGACCGTCTCGCGGTATTCAGAAATCAAGGAAGTGTCAGTACTAGGGAACTTGGACAGTTTTCTACAGTCATCACCCACATTATGCCAACTCAGTTACATCTACGAACAGATGTAAATTTCACCACAACATGGGTTGTAAACAGTCTGGTGTTTAAGTTGATGACATAGACATAGTAGCAACAACATTCTCTTTTGTAAAGAGAAAACAAAAATAGTTTTCTAATATAAAATACCAAATTGATACTGAAATCATTTGTATTGCATCACTGCTTTCCTTATCTCCTTTACCCCGGTTTTATTGGCATAGTTGATTGATCTTACATTGCACTATTTTTGGCAAAGAATCATAGAACTAGAGCAAGATAATGGCTGCCTATATTGTGAGCTTTGGTGTTGTTTTAGTGCTGATTTCATGTGATTCTAGATGCTGAATGCAGATTTGACACTAAGTAATGCCACTTGTTTAAATACAGCTAGAGGGACTTACCTGGTGGTCCAGTGGTTAAGACTCCTGGCTTGCACTGCAGGTGTTAGGTCCCTGGTGGGGGAACTAAGATCCCGCATGCCACGCCGCGGGGCCATAAGTAAATAAATAAAAATAAATACATACATACATACAAACATCTAGATATGTTTTCAAGGTGCATAATCCGCACTGCTTAAATAGGACACATATATTACAAATTGATTTAAATAATTGATAGACTTGATTTAAAAAATCTTGAGACAGAGCTCTCAAGATGTACTTCCCAAATGAATTTCAATTATTGTTTCAAATTCTCTAGGAAAAAGTTTTAAAATTATAATCTGTTAGTTATCAAATAATTTTCAGTCTTAAATACTTAAGGGCCTACTCCATGTCTGTGTGTCACTACAATTTTGGACACTAGTGATACAAAGTGATACAAAAGTGAATAAAATCAACACAGTGCCCTCCTGAAGCTTACAATCTAACAGGATAAGACAAACTAGTAAATACATCAGGTGGTGATGGAGAAGACAGCCAAAAGGGGTAGGTTAAGGGGTGATGGTTGTTGCCATGTTGTATAGACATGATGGTAAGGGCAAGCCTTTCTAATAGGATCAAATTCGAAAAGACCTCAAGGAAGTGACAATTCCCAGTTTTTTTTGGAGGGAAAGCATTTCAGGCAGAGGCAACAAGTGCAGAATCTGAGGTTGCAGGGGTGCTAGGGAGACCAGTTAGGGAGCTGTGGCCATAGGACAGGCAAAAGGTGTTATGACTTAAATAATGATAGCATAGCAGGGGAGGTTCAGAATCTAACCAGTATTGCATGTCATATTGGCTCTTTAGTATGAGAGAAAGATGAGTCAAGGATGACTCTGAGGTTTTGGCTTGAGCCATTTACTAAGAAGGGAAAAATTTCAGGATGAACAGGCTCTTTAATGTGACTTTTTATATTACATCTGTATCTGTTAGAGGTACATTTTGAAATATTTATGTATAAACTATATCATGTCTGAGAATTGCTTTAAAATATTTTAGAAGAAACAAAGATGGGTAGTTGAAACAACTTTGGCAGAAGGTTGATACTTGCCGATGCTGGGTTATGGGTTCATGAGGTTTTATTATACTATTATACTTTTGTTTATGTTTGACATTTTCCACAATTTTTTTAATAAGTTTGTTTTATTTATTTTTGACTGCATTGGGTCTTTGTTGCTGTGCCCGGGCTTTCTCTAGTTGCTGCGAGCAGGGGCTTCTCATTGCGGTGGCTTCTCTTGTTGCGGAGCATGGACTCTAGGCGCGCAGGCTTCAGTAGTTGTGGCACACGGGCTCCGTAGTTGTGGCTCACAGGCAGTAGTTGTGGCGCTCAGGCTTAATTGCTCCACGGCATGTGGGATCTTCCCAGACCAAGGCTCGAACCCATGTCCCCTGCATTGTCAGGCAGATTCTTAACCACTGTGGCACCAGGGAAGTCCCCACAATTCTTTAAAATAAAATATGTAAGGAAAAAAAGGATGGTTCTAAAATGTAATGTGAAATTTGGAATGCTGTGTGGTAATTTTCAACAGAACACCACTTTCTCATTTCTGTATTTAGTCGATAACTGAGTTCCTACTCTAAATTGAGTTGACATCAGTGTAGTGCCAAAGTGCCAAGTTTCATGCTAAGAATAGTGTAAGAGCTATGCCAGTTACTCATTATAAGCAATAAAAACAGTAGGAATGGAATTTAGCTTTGATATTTCTAAATAATTCTATTCAAATCAAATTATACCTTAAGGAATAGGCCACTCTCTGGTTAGACAGCTGCTATACATTTTTTCATTTTACTTAAAAATTAAACATGTTCCCTGTTTTAAAAAAAAAGTAAAATCAAACTACTAAATCATATAAATGGGTCCCATTACTCCACTCTCAGTCTTCTAAAATGTGTTTATATACCTCGGTACTTTAAAAAGAATATTAAGGTAAAATGTATAAATGAATAGGAGTATTCATTGCCTAACAATCCATTTGGGTGTTTTTGTTGTTCGTGATGCCTTTAGTAGAACACAAAAGGATCAGTAATATATCCTTGATAAATTGTTGACTTTATTAATGTCTTAAAAACCATTCAAATCCTACCTTTTCAGTCCAGATTCCTTAATTGAGAATTAAATACTCCCTTCCAGCCTTGTCTTTTCTCTCACTCATATATAAATACTGTATTCCTATCAAATTATTTTTTTAATTTCAAAAATATCTTGTACTTTTCTAACTCTAGATTTTTGTTCACACAGTTAAACTCATCTTGAATGCTCTCTGCTCCCTTTCTGTGGCCTTTCCTTACCTCAAGATATAACTTCAAGTCCATCTCAGACCGCAGAATCTTGATGTGAATTCCTATGTCAATTCCTCTGTCATTTTTCAATTTTGTATGATCATGTGGCATTTTTCTTGTAATGAATTATTATGTAAGGTCTCTTAGAACTCTGAAATTCTGTCACTCTGTGGCTTTCGCATCATTAATAAGATTGTATGTCTAAAGGAATCAACTCTTTTTTAATAAATTTATTATTTATTTATTTATTTTTGGCTGCTTTGGGTCTTCGCTGCACGCGGGCTTCCTCTAGTTGCGGCGAGTGGGAGCTACTCTTCCTTGTAGTGCACGTGCTTCTCACTGCGGTGGCTTCTCTTGTTGTGGAGCACGGGCTCTCGGCACGCAGGTTTCAGTAGTTGTGGCCTGTGGGCTCAAGAGCACAGGCTCAGAAGTTGTGGCACACAGTTTAGTTGCTACAAGGCACGTGAGATCTTCCTGGACCAGGGCTCGAACCCATGTCCCCTGCATTGGCAGGTGGATTCTCTACCACTGTGGCACCAGGGAAGTCCCCAACTCTCTTATTCCCCTCTCACAATATCCAGTATGGTTTTCTGTTTGGTTTTTGTTTTAATTTTTATGTCATTTTAGCCAAGAAAGTAGTATCTGTATGCAAAGTTTACTCTTTGAATCATTTAGCCTGTTAAATAATTATTTTTATTAGTATTTTTCTAACATTATATCTGCTGACCTTGAAGTTGATTAATGCTAGTCTGAAACAGACTCGTTAATTGAACCTATATTTATTGAGTACCTCCTAGGTGCTTGGTATTGAAGGATACAGAAATGAATGAGAGCCAGTTGCTGCCCTCAAGAACTTCATAATCTACTCTCAATTTATCATAATTAAATATTCTTTGTAGTAAATAGCCATTTTGTGAATTACTGTTCTTCATTTGATAAATCTTTCAAGTGGGTGCATTTTTAATTCAGAATTGATATTGAAGCAAAACTTTGCTCACCATTGTTAAAATGATATATAGTTTCTAAAAAAATATTTTCAAACTAAATTATTGAGGGAAGGGGGTTCATTTTAATTTTCTAACATTTTCTTTGAACTGACTACTAAAGTTACACTATGAACTTCATGAACACCAGCTATTTTCTGAGGGGGAAGAGGTCTTTAAACTTTAGTTGCAGGTTTGGCCTTTATTTCCCATTTAATTTAACAAGCACAATAGTGTATCTAAGCTGGAGATGTAAAGATGAATTATGATGCTGGCCTCCACCAGCTCCTGTCGGATCCTGTCTGGATGCAATTCCACTCACTCTCAGGTCCTCCTGAAATTCCATTTCTTTTATAGAATTTAAATTGCAGTAACTTCACCATGTCTCTGAAATTCTAATAAATATATCCCATTGAAAGTCCGTACATTTTCTCATTCTGTAAAAACTCTTCACGTTTAGTGTTACCCAAAACTGTGTTCACATCCTTTGGTGCTGTTGGCATTAATTTAGTAAACAACTAGATAGAACATGTTTTGTTAACCTGATATTAAAATAATTGTGTATGAGCTTAGTTCTCAGTCTTAGCTACATTTAAAATTACCCAAGGAATCTTTACAGCCTGCACCTCAGTCCAGTTAAATTAGAATCCTTGGAATTGGATTCAGCATCAGTATTTTTGAAAGTTCCCCCAATTCCAAAGAGCAGCCAAAATTGAGAACCAGTTGAGGAGAATCTACTTTACAGTTTACTAATATATTCAGAGTTTGTGTTATACGTTTGCCCCCAAGAAGTTTAGAATACTTTTAAACTATTACTTTACCCAATCAAAGAATTGATGGTTAGAGTTTATATTAAATAGATGTCTTTTCTCACACAGACTTTTTACTTGTAGTCCTTTATTCTCTCTAGTAAATCAGGGCATGGAATCCAGGCTTCTTATTTCATACTGTAGCCTACATGTCTATCCTGTAGTAAAGGAAGGATTGCAGTGCCTGGCATAATGTGGCTGACTCAAAGACAATCTTTTTCTTAAAGCAATGTTTAGAGAAAATATATAAAGAGTGGATTAACCTTTCTTTTCTCAGGTCATTTTACTGGGTTATTAATGAAATGTTATGAAAGAATAGTACATCAAATTACACTTTAGAGAACATTGGGTTTGGATTTCTATGACTTTTCTGCATTCTGACATTCATTGTAGCTTGTTTTCACAGAAGTTTTTAATTATTAAATGGTAGTGCTATACATTCATTAAAATACATGCTTAAGGGCTTCCCTGGTGGCTCAGTGGTTGAGAGTCCACCTGCCGATGGAGGGGACACGGGTTCATGCCCTGGTCTGGGAAGATCCCACATGCCGCGGAGTGGCTAGGCCCGTGAGCCGTGGCCGCTGAGCCTGCGCGTCCAGAGCCTGTGCTCCACAACTGGAGAGGCCACAACAGTGAGGGGCCCACGTACCGCAAAAAGAAAAAAAAAAATATATATATATATATATACATGCTTAAAATCAAATGTAGTTTATAATGAACAACTATCAGTACTAATTGACTACAAAGTCAGTAATGATTTTGGACTTAAAGATGTTGAAAACTAAAATTTTTAGGGTAAAATTTAAAATTTTTGGCAATTAGGAAAGGGGTCTTTTTTTTAAAGAAAGAATAAGTCTTTTGTTCTTCTGCCAAAGATATCATAATTTTATGTTTGTGTTTAAGCAATATTAAGATCATAAAATCCTTGAGGGCAAGAACCATGTCATATGCTGAATATATATCTCACATACCGTTGAAGAAAATGTATTCTCCACAAATATCTTTGATTAATAATTCTCCTTAATTTAGTTGATGTAACTCATCATTTTCTGTAGTTGATGTATTCTTAAAAATGTTTTAGAGGAAAATTTATGTATTAAGTGTTGTACTAGTTCGTTAACCTAATATATCATACCTTGTGATTAACAATGGAAAAAATCTTTAAATTCCCATAGTGATAAAATCATGGGAAATATATCTTTTACAATTACACATTGAAATAATAAAATTTAAATTTATGATTTCAACTTAAATATATAACATTAGCAATGTTCTTATGTCCCCTCCCACCCTTTTATTGTTTATTTTAGATAGGGTTGAAGTTATTATTCTTAATTTGATGATGATTGAATATCAGGTAGGAAGCAGAGGTGGGCTATAGGATACAGCTCACCAGAGTGCTATGAACAAAGAAAGAGGGACAGAGAAGCACAAGGTGTGTTTAGGTAATGGTGATAGAAAATATTAATTGCTTGAAATCAGCAAGTATTTTACTGGAAGGATAGCATAGGATATAAAAAGACTATGATTCAAACAGATACAGGATTGAATCCCAGCACTGACATCTTAGGGCAAAATTTTAAACCATCCTGAGCCTCAATTTCTTCATCACTAAATTTATGATTCTTACCTGTGTAACAAGATGTTTTTGAGTACATGATACAAAATGCACAGCAATTGTTTTTCACTCTTAGAAAATGCAAGTAAACATCAGAATTTATTACTGGTACTTAAATAAATTGCTCATGTGGTTCTTCCTACAGAACTGCTATTTTCTGAACAGGCTTTCTATAATCAAACTATCTCACTCATACTTAAGGGTTCCATAAATTCACTCAGTTAATCATTCAGTCACTGAATCAAGAAACAATAGAACCATCTGTGTTGGTCCTCTGTCCACCATCTTTTTATCTTTGTATCCTTATTGTCAAATTACTTGTTTGTTGTCTGTCTTCTCCATTAATATGTAAGCTTCCTTAGAGCAGAAACCTTGTCTGTTTTTTGGCTTCTGAAATCCATGTGCTTAGAATAATGCCTAGCACATATGTAGGTGCTTAATAAATATTTGTTGAAGGAATGAATGGAATGAACAAACAAAATAGATATACTTGCTTACTAAGGAGCTAAGTGGAGAATTTTTCTCTACTGGTAGATCATCCTTTATAGATGATGTTCACTTGGGTGAACTACTCGCATTATCTGGGAAATAATCTATTTAACCAAGGGAGGTTAGACTTGGAACCTGTAAAATTCTGATGTATACCTTTGACAGGTCTACAGCTTAGCATCTTCAGGGATCTGTAAAGAATATCAGCATTCTCTCTTAAGAATTAGATTGCATAGTTACCCAGCTGACCTTGGGGTCAGAGTTTTGATCTTTTTCCCAATGCCTCTCCTATCCTTGGTTACAGTACACTGCAAGTTTACAGGCTTGGGCAATAGTTTTGGAACTACTATTCTCAGTTCCACCCATTGGGTCAGGGTTTGGCTACAGGCCAGTCTTTAAAAGACCTAAAGCTTTACAAAAGCTATTGAAGCTATTTCTAGGCCTTGAATAAAACCTTTAGTGGGGGTATACCAGAAGTCTAAGAAAAACATTCTAAAAGCTCTAAGTGCTAACTGATAATCAATTGAAAGTATTAGACCAAGAATGATGCTGAAAGAAACAAATAATAAAATTCAGAAAAATGGAGCTGCAGAAGATATTTTAAAGGTGAACATTCTATTTTGTTATCCAGAAATGTCATGACTAATGAGTATAGAATTAGTGCTAGTGATATACCTGTGTTATGATGGGAAACCACATATTCTAGAGGAAAATTATGCATGATAAACAGCCTGAGTCATTGCTTCTAGTATTTAATTAAAAGTGTCCAGAAGTCTCTATAAAATCTACACAGAAATACTTTTACCTCTTTGTTATTGTATGGGTAATGCTGCCTTTCCTCAAAAACCACTAAGGATAATAAAAACTGATATGTTGTGAGTATATTTAACTACATTTACGATCTTTAAAAGATGCCTCAGTAGTATGAATAGGATGTGTTCCAAAAGTTAGTCCATAAATCAATTGCTGGAACATATTTTGAAGAAACAACTTAAATGATAGTTTCCCAGAACATCCCATAAAAGCCTATCTCACTAGGTGTGATTAAAGTGCCAATGATACAAAGCCACATTAAACATAAATAGCCCTTTTTAAATTCAAAATAATAATTGTCAGGCACTGAACAAAGTGATTTACATACATACCCTTACTTAATTCTTAAAACACCGTAATATATGTATTGTTTCTCTTTTGCGATGGAAGATACCTAAGGAAAAAATATTCAAAAGCTTGCTCAGGTCACACAGTTAGCAGTGCAGTCAGGATTTGAATTCAGATCCAGCTGGCTCAAAACTTTTACTCCTTACCACTGTGTTATCCTACCTTTATAATGTAAGAAATATTTATATACTTTATATACAGGACAGTATGCTAGATTTTTCTATAGCATTCACACCATACATTTCAGCAGAACTAAGGATATGTGTTAACTATGGAATAGGATTATCCTAAGTGCCACAAAAGAGGTATGGATAAATTACCAGAGGGGCAAAAAGGAGCATTCATATACAACAGTTTACAGACAATTATTTGTATGCCCGGGATTGTTTGGATTTGAGTTTTCTTTTTAATACATATTCCTAAAATGTATTGGGGGTATATTTAACTTTTTTTTTTAACTGTATAATCAATAACAGTTCACAGAAGAAAAGCTTGGCCAGGCAGAGAAGACAGAATTGGATGCCCACTTAGAGAACCTCCTTAGCAAAGCTGAATGTACCAAAATATGGACAGAAAAAATAATGAAACAAACTGAAGTGTTATTGCAGCCAAATCCAAGTAAGAAATTTTTTACCTTTTGTCTCCATTATTGACTAATTTTATTAAAAGGTACTGTTAATAGGTTTTTTTAATGTTTTTTAAAAAAAGTTTTAATGGCTCTTGGAAAACATTTTTTGGTTATGGCTTTGGGGTCTATAATTATTTTGTGTGTGTGCTTTTGGTGAAGAAGAGGGTGATAAACACTTCATTGTATACCCTCTAACAAATTGACAAGTAACATTTTTCAGGCCTCTGTAGAATCCTCTTGAAAACTCAATTTCAGGCAGTGAGTTTGAATTTTAAGAGTTATGAAAGTCTGTGTAGATAAATCTTCCTTTCTCATCCAGGGGAGAATTGTCCCTAGTAATTAAGGAAAAAATATATAGAAACTTAAGTAGTTACCAACTATTTATGTTTATGTTAAGTTTTACATTTTTACATAAATTATTCCGTTTGATTTTCAGACAACACCATAAAGCTTTTCAGATCACCTAAGTCAATAACTGGCAAATAAGGTGCATAATAATTGTTTTAATTGAAACTCACAAGTTAGCATTTTGTTCAGTGTAGCATAGCTAATTAGAAGTGGAACTTGAACTAGAACCAGGTGTATTGACACCCTGAGTTTTACAGATCAAAACTGAAGGACAAAAGCAACAATAACAATTCCTGCTTTCCTTCCCCTTTTCCCCAGTGTTATTGTGATCATGTTGTGAAATGCCATAAACTTACTTTGTTACTAATTTAAAGTTCCAAGCTTTAAACTTTGTTGCTATTACGTAAACCTCAAGCACTATACAAAATATTAGTAATACTGTGCTATTTTAGTTAAATTGTGGTGACTTTTTAAAATAGTCCTTTTACATTTTGAGTGAGGCCTGTTGTCTTTGGACACTATGTGTTATTTCTTATTCATTTAAGGCTACTTAAATAATATACCATGGTATCTAAAAAAAAGAAAGAAAGAGAAAAGAAAGGAGTAGACATTTTTCCTCTTGTTTCTTGCTCTATCCATAGTTCCTCAAATAATATAGTCTGTTCTACAACATGTTTTTGTGATTGGCAAATAAGCTCACACTCAACTGGTAAACGGGAATGATGTCGGTAGAAGGGAGTTAGTTACAATGGCTCATATAATACAGTTTTACATTAGTGTTTTAAGTCTAAAGTAGTAACAGAATTTTTTGTGTGTTTTATTTATGCTCTCATTATAAAGTTACACAGATTTTGAGTAGTCAGACCCAACCTTCTTTTTCCTGTAAGCCATGTTACTTTTAGTGCATGATTTTTCAGAACCTAGGATTTTTCAGAAATATACATTGTATTATAGCAGAATTGCCTGCATTTTTTGTTAAGATTTTATGATGACTTTTTAATGCCCTATTAAAATGAAACATTTATTTAAAATATACCAATTTTTTTTAACTGAATGAAATCAACATGGGATTCAACTTTAAACTTTTGACCAAATAGATAGATGGCAAAGATAAGAATCACTCTCAGGGTCAGAAAATGAAGTTCTGCAATTTAGTTAATATCTTCTCAGTGGCTATGTTTTGAACTGACTCATTTTGACTTTAACTAATTGAAAGGTTTTTAAATTCCTGCTTAAAAACTCTTCTGATGCTGCAGCAGAGTCTACCACAAAAGCGAGTATTGTTCCAACAGCCTGTTTTATGTATGAAAATTAGCACTTTTGCCAACTCCTGAAGTGTTTCTATTACTGGTTCAGCTTATTTTTGAAATTTTCAGTGTACTGTGTGACACTTTCACTTGTGGAGGAGTTATGTGAGGTGCTTAGAAGGAACCTATTTAACTGAGATTCTTTTTGGATTGTAATTTTATGTTTAATCATTGTTTCTGAAAAGTCTGGAACTTTGACTTTTTTCTTATTTGTCTCTGAAATATCTCACTGTTGGGCAGCAGTGTAAATGTGAATTTCTTAAATATTATGATAACCAAGTGTTTATTCAGATCTTACAGATCTTTTTTCCTTTTCATTTATGCTAATTCCTATTATTGCTTTTAACCTTTTGTACTTTAAACTTATTTTTAATGATGAAATCTTTTGAGTGCTCAGATATTTATATACTTTAAACATAATTAAATAAAATTAAGCCAAGGAATCATATTGCTGATCTCTGTAGACTATTCCAAATCCTATTGTTCCATTCCTTAAACTCCCAATATTTAGCCTCTAAGAGGGAGATTGAGCATATGAGCAAACTAAAGCAAAATAATAGTGGCAGAAGTATGTGACTCTTTGGTTTTTCTAGGTACCTTATATCCATATTTTTATAGCTGGAAATCCATGATTTTAAAATTGTGTACATATATTCAAAGTTAAAAGTTAGACAGTATATGAGTGGGGCAAAGACAACTTCACTAGATATTAAAGGAATACCAACCCTTTCTGAAACTTAAAATCCTATAAAATACTCATAATAGTTTTACTTTATTTTAAATATTTTTGTGCCAAAATATTTTATCAGATTTTTAAAATATAAATTTCTTAGAGTTATGTAATACTCTTAACATGCAAATGAAAAATTATATATTAAGATATGTACTTGAAAGCATACTAATTTCATGTTTATTTTACAAGGTGATAAATGTCTAGTAGGGGAACAAAACAATCTTTCAAGTAGCTTAGCTTTTTGAAATCATTGGTAATTTTAAACCTTTTTCCTAGATGCCAGGATAGAAGAATTTGTTTATGAGAAACTGGATAGAAAAGCTCCAAGTCGTATAAACAACCCAGAACTTTTGGGACAATATATGATTGATGCAGGGACTGAGTTTGGCCCTGGAACAGCTTATGGTAAGTGAAAGGCAAAAGGTCTGCTAAGAGATATCTTTACTCTTAGATTTTTACTACTTAGAGACATCATTAACATTTACCTAATATTAGTAGAATCAATTTTAACTTCAAATTTTTTGTCTTAAAATTTTGGATGCAGTGACAAATGTAGGTGACCACTAAATATATACAGTGTAACTTAGTATTTAATATATTTAAGCATATATTCTGAGAATTCACATCTTTTTATGTCTAAATAGGTATTCCCATTGAATCTTGCAGCACCTCTGTTGTACTTCTTGTGATATATTGCAGTCTCTGTTTATATATGTCTCCTCTAGTTGATTTTTCTTTTTGAAGCTTTCTTGAGGATTTATTTCTATAATAAAGTACCTGGCACATACTAAGTATTTGAACTAGTGCTTTTGTTACCCAGATAATGTCAGTACCACGAAAATGTTAACAATGGTTATCTCTTGATGTTTGGATGACATTTTATTTCTATTTTCCTCATATACTTTAAATTTTCTATTACGTTTCACAGTTATGCCAGCTTTTTTTAGTTGCTGTAGTGACTTTTTTAATGTATAACTCTGAAGCTCAGTTATATATCATTACCCCTCAAATCTAATTTTCTCAGAACATAAGACTATTTCAGATTTCTATAGCTTTTTTCCTGTTTTTCATGGCTAATAATTCTTTTTATTAAGACTTCTGCAAGAAATTTGTCCTTATTTGGATATGAAATGATAGGTAAATTAAGTGATTTTCTACGTATATAGTCCTGATTTATGAAATAGCACATAAATTCTGGGACTAAATTAACTTAGTTTTAGTAGTATTTATGTCAGATGGAAATAACCTAAGTACTGTGTAATGAATGCTATTAATCCATTAACTGGCTTGTAGCCGTACAACTTTGAAACTATTACATTGTGTTCTTCAAAATATAATTCTTTCAGAAGTCTGAAAATACTTAAAATTTCTATAGTTTGACTTCTAAATTTTAACTATAAATTTTATAAAAACTTTATATATCGATCAGATTTGTTATTGCCTTCTTGTGCCAGACACAGTTAGATGCTGGGGTCATAAAGGTACGTGAAAACCCAGCCCTTTCCTTCACCAAGCTGAAGACCTAGTGGAGCATGAACATTCAAAAAGCTTTTAAATTTTTTCCTTTTTAACCTGCTTAATCTGTTTGCACTTCTAATAATTCCATTGAATGTACCCTGATTATTGGAATTGGGCTTTGTGAATCTATTTATTAATAATTGATAATAGTATTAGTAATAGATGATTAGTATTAGTAATAAATTAGTATTAGTGATTGAATATTTCAGGAATTGGGCTAAACACTGTACAATATATGTATTGGTAAATCCTCACTTATATCCTACTTGTAAATTCTATTATCTCTGTGTAAAGACAGGGAAACTGAGTCTTAGAGAGGTTACATAGTTCATCCATAGCTAGTAATTCAAATGTAGATCTGTATCCAGAAATTGAGCTCTTAACTACATTATATTATTACCTTCCTTATCAATCAGATCTAATTTTATCTGAGCATGAAGGAATTAAGATCCACAGAACTAAAGCTTATTAGAGATAGAACTGGAAGTAGAACCAATCTTGTGGTTCTCTTTCTTTTTCTCTATTTTCTACTGAATTTGTCCTATTTAAATATTAGGGTATATGTGCTGCAAAACATAGTTTTTTGTTTTTTTTTTTAACTTAAGATACAAATATATACTCTTATTTATAGACACGAGGTAAGTGCATAAATACAGAAACCAAAGAATTTTGACTTTACTTATTAAAATATTTTAAGAATTATACTTTTATAAATATATCTACACTATTTGAGCTGTGACCATAAGTATTTTTTAGTGTATCTGTCCTCTTTTGTCCCATTGGTAGAGTTGGTACAATTAACTATGATATGATAAGGAGTTCATCTTTGTCATTTTCATTTTGATATTTATAATCTTAAATTTACTTTCAAAATAAAACTACCTTAACTACAGTTAATTTTATTTGATTTTACTTAAGTAAACAAGTAACAACTGACTTTAAGGCAGATCAAATTGCTGATTTATCTTAACATGATTTTCTGACATTACCAGACAATGGTTAAAAAAAAAAAAAAAAAAACCAAACTTTTTTCCTTTGCAGGTAATGCCCTTATTAAATGTGGAGAAACACAAAAACGAATTGGAACAGCAGACAGAGAGCTGATTCAAACATCAGCCTTAAATTTTCTCACTCCTTTAAGAAACTTTATAGAAGGAGATTACAAAACAATTGCTGTGAGTTGGAAAATGTTCATTTGTTTAGTAAAATAATTTAGGTATATACTTAGTTTTTAAATGAATAATTTGCCCTCTTAATGACTTTGTAGATGTAGCAGTTTAGAAAAATTAAATAATCTAGTTAGATGCATATTCCAGCAGAACACAAAACTAACCAAAATAAAGGACTATTAATGATACGGACTCCACTTTTGTGTCCCTGTAGTGTTATTGAGGTGTCATTACATCCATTCTTGTTCGTTACCATCACTAAAATCTATAGAGAAGTTCCTGGAATGATTATTAAAGTACAGCACAGTTTATCACCACAGTATAGCCGTATAGCTGTTCATTTAAACTGGGAGCCAGAATCCCAATTACTGGAAGCTATATTTCTGGCTATTAGCCTTTCTGTCTTTTTGTATCCCCAGAAGTCTATTATCTTGTTTTCACACAGCTGTGTTTTATTGCTGAAATAAAGAAAAAAATATCACTTTCCCAAACCTAATCTGTTAATCTATTATTTTTTTGGTTTAATTTGTTTTTTAAGTGATGGAGAGTGGAGCTCTAGGTGAATATCTTTTTCCTAAGATTCTTGCAAGACTGCTCTTTATTGTAAATACGACTTCAAACTTAATTTGAAGCTTTCTTATTACAAAATATTATTGAAACTCAATATGTTTACAATGGATTTGTGAATAAAAAGTGTTTGGCCTGAGACAAAGGAAAAACCACAAAGATGAAATACGATTGAAGAGATATTAGATTGTCAATAGGATGATATTTGATATATGAATTCTAAGAACTAATAAAGCAAACAGTGAATTCTTATAAACTTACCTGTTATAAAGAAGCTTGATGTTCCCATGAGGAATTCTAAGATATCGTACTAATTCTAAGATATCATACTAATGTTTGTTCATTATTCATTCTATAAATTTGAAATTCTGTTTTCATAGTAATAGAGTTGCTTTTGTTGCTGTGGCACAGGGTTTCAAGGAGCTTTGCCCTGGGCCCTCTACCTTCTTCACCATAGGCACTTCCTAGATTATCTGTTGAATAATTCTTTGTTGTGGGAGCTATACTGCATTATAAGATGTGTAGCAGCGTCCCTGGCTTCTACCCTGTAGATGCTAGTAACATCCCTCCCCCAATTGTGACAACCAAGAAGATATTGCCAAATGTTCCCTGGAGGGGCAAAATCACAGAATATTAAAACTAATATTCTTTTGTTTCTGCCATCACCTGCCATCTTTCCCAGATATCTAGAATGTCTCTATCATTTTAAAATTGGAAATAGTGAGAAAATGGAGTCAGATACCTGACTCGTCACTTTATAGCCAAGTTTGTAATCATAGATCTTTATCAGATGATTCATGTATTTAATGGAGAATAATACCTTAAATGTGTATGCTCTTACTGGATTTTTAGCATCATTAGGCTTTTTTTTTCTTTCCTATATTTATAGAAAGAAAGGAAACTATTACAAAATAAGAGACTGGATTTGGATGCTGCAAAAACCAGACTAAAAAAGGCAAAAGCTGCAGAAACTAGAGTATCAGTAAGTAGTGTTTTTTTTTAATAGAAGAGTATTTGAGGTTAATAACTTAAAACTTGTAAAAGGTTTCACTCATATAACATGCAAGCTGTAATCTATCATTAAGACTAGAATATGACTTTAGGGTATTGTTTTTGTGTTTTTAAATAAACTTTTCAGAACTTAATACATTCAAATCAGTGCAAAGTAGTCATATCAAGAGGCAATATTCTTATTTTAGTGGTACACTTGTTGCTAAAAAACAAAAATTATAAGAGCTCCTAAAGCTGTGTCATATTTTTTGAATAACCTCAGCGGTGATGGAAAATAAGTCTTCTGGAAATAGATTTATTATATTTGAAATAGAAAAACAGATAGTAATTAAGATAAGAATAAATCAAGTTTGAGAATGCTTATGTGTAGCTTAAAAATTAGATGTGACTCCCTTTCCACATGGGACTCAAACTGACCGAAGGAGTTGTCACCAAGAATAGTTCCAAAACTGTTCAGATAGTGGCAACATGGAGTCCCAGGTGGCTGTTTTGAAGGGGAGGAAACCTGTTTGGATAAATAAGTTCTGGTATATTTTTTATAAAAATCAATCTCAGAGTAGTCTTTTAAGACTAAGTGGGTATATATTAAATATAGTAGTTCAATGATTTTATATATATGTATATGTGAGGATATATATATAACTTTAATAACTTTAAAGATTTTATTTATAAGCTTCTGATTAATCTAATATTTATATAGTTTATATCTCTTTTCCAAAGTTTGAAGAGATTAATCAGACTTGAATTGGAGCACCTTTAAGATAGTACAATATAAACAAGTATGAATTTATTAGATGAAGCTAACAAGTTCATTCTTGAGCTAAGGGATATGTTTTGTTAAGAGAAGTGACATTCCCACTGCCTTCTGTTCCCAACTCACTACCACTACTATCGTCAAGAATCATTGCCTTAGGAGCATATTACCACGGTGCTGGTAGAAGTCTATTGTGGCTCTCTTGTTTTGGGAAAGAAAAGGTTGAGACTTGGTTTAGAGTGAAATTTATAACTGGTAACTTGGTGTTGGACAGTGTTGTCTTATGAGATTACCCAACACCTTATATGAGCAGAATAAATTATTTTCTTCTAGATAGGTCTCCTTTTGGAGATTCTGTATTAGCAACTGCTGGAGAAGAGCTATCTTTGACAAGACATTAATTTCAAAATCACTGGCTAGTTCACCTCAGAATTTATGATGGCATCATCATAAAGGACGGCTTAACTTCCCTAAACAAGCTTTTTGCAGAATTAGAACTTTACAGATGAATACCATAGATGGCAAGAGACTCTAAATTAGGATATTAATTTCTAAGTTGCTAACAATAAACTTATATAGCAAAATATGAATTGGTTTTTAAGATACAAATTTCATAATCAGAAAAAATGTTAAATAAGGATGATTTGGAAATAAATGTTAGAACAGAATATCTTTATTTGAAATGTCTGTATGTGCCCAGTGATTATGGAATAAGAATACAAAACTTTCTTTAACAAGCACTATTACAGAATAATGATAGTCTACATTTTACTTGGAAAAGTGCCAGAGAGTTCACAAATTTAACAGTATACCAGGTCCTATGTATTCTAAATTATTTTACCACTGCTATTAAAATGTGTAGGAACCAAATATAATAGTAGACAAATTTTGAGAGATAATTCCTTTTGATATATCCAGAAAAGATGTTGACAGATTTTCTGTGCTGTGTATTATTGAGGACAAAATTTTTTCCATGAGAATTTACATTTAAAAATAAAAGTTTATACAAATGAATTTTTCAACAATTGTATTTGTACACAGCTTTTCTAGAATTTATATATTGCATTAAACAAAATTTAACTGTAGCCAAATATTAAAAATATTAGTCTAGACAAAAATTCGCATTTCCTGATTTTAGTTGTGTTCTTTTCCTCTAGATAACCAACTTGTTTTTCTTCAGACTTTATAGCAGTAAGTCTGAAATACTTTGGAAAGGAAAAGCCCTCTTAGTTTGTTATCACATAAAGCCTTGAGGCATGCCTATATTTTGTGATTTTTTTTTTCCTCTGTATTTCTCTTCCGTTTACTTGAAGAATACAGAAAAATTGAAACCACTAGGAGTTTGTTTTTCCTTTTTTTTTCTTCTTTGACACATTTCCTGCTCCTAGTTGGTGGCTGAGGAGGTTACTCTAATCTCAGACTTTCTTTGATTTTACTTCTTTGTAAATTTCCTCAGATTGTTTTGTGACTAGTTGTTCCTCTGTAAGTAAGATTTGGGACCTGTGCATGTCAGCACTTTTTTAAAAATTTGTTTACTAGTTTCTTGTGACCTGTTTTTAAAGTCTCGATTTACTGAATGCTAATTTTGTACAAGATGCTTTGCTGAGAAGGAGTTCATATATAAATAGTGCAAAATCTCTGCTGCCCTCAGTTTACAATCTGCTATAGTAGATTGAATTTTTTGGTGATTTTGCCATACCAGTAAAATATTTCTGCCTATATTCAATATTGCTACTTTGCTAATCTGTTTTATTAATGTGTTGAAGAATGGTAAAGCAACATCAAAGACAATTCTCAAAAATATACCAATTGAGCAGAAAAGAGAAAACCTCCCTGAATATTTTACAATGAATAAAGTACAGCTTTGAAAATAATATAAAACTTACATCAGAGAAGCAAAAACAAATATAACTTATGCATTTAAGTTATAAGGCACTGACATTTGTTAACCTAACTTAGTCTATATAAACTTTTTAAAAAATCATTTTAGAGTGTTGTTAATGGAAAGAAAAAAATCATCTGCTTTCAAAGTTCTCTGATATTGAGAGGTTTAGACGTCTGTTACTTTTGAGTATCCAAATATGATGGAAAATACATTTTCAAGTAACATAACAAGTGTGTCCCTCTGCCCACTTAAGCATTTCCACAGCAGTCTATGTCTTTAATCTGCAAACTGAGTGAATTTATAGCACCATCATATAACCTTAACTTAAATGTACATATATTAGAATTTAAAGTTTATTAAAAATACAAGGATTGACATGCCTCTCATATATCTCTTCAGAGTATGCTAAGACCTGTGAGACTGATTGAAAGAGAACATGGTTGAAGGCATCATACATTAATAAAATAGAAATGATCTTTGAATAGGGAAATTGTGGGTAGGCAGAATGGCTTTCATAGGTGAAAATTTAATAAAAATTTAGGAAATTGTGGCAGTTTTTAAAGTGATACATTTTCCTTAAATAATTCTAATTTAAAATCAAGCATCAACCATCTTTTTTATCTTTGAAAATTGAATCTTTTGAAAAAATTGAACAGATACCATTATATGAAATTCCGTAGTTGGATTTTTTTTTTTAAGTAGAAGACCATTTTATCGGTTCTTAATACTTGTTTGTGTGTTCTTTAGTGTGCAGAAGTAACTTGTTTTACTGTGTTCATTGGTATAATGTGTTCTTTGTCTCTTACCTATGCACTTAAGCAACTAAACTCAGCACGCCTTGAAGGAGATAACATTATGGTAAATTTCTCTTACATGCTCAACTTCCTGCATGTAAAATGGCTGAAGGTTTGTTGGCCTACTGTGTTTTCTACATCTTGAATAAAGTGCCTTCTCTTGCTATTATCTACATATAAAGTCTAAAGTAGTTGAAGCCATGCATTCATTAGTCTAACAAAAAATACAGAGAATACTAGCTGAAGAAATATTGGAACTTGAAGAAAAGAAATTGTGTTCTAATTGCCAAATTCAGCTGTGCCAAATTAGAGTCTGAATTTATACACAAATACATAAATATTTACATGTATTTATACTACACATAAATATATAGTGCCTTTTATACATAATAAAAGATGTTAATTTAGCTGGCATTTCATATTTTCACTGTTGGCAAAGAAAATTAACAAAATTTACTTAAAGAAATGTATAAGATATACAGATTTACTTTGCTTCACAATACCTTCAGTGTTTACCTTAATTTTCACCCAAATTCAGCATAGAATTAATTTCTTCTGCAATTCCAGGCCAAGACAAACCCCAGTAGTTTAGGTGTTTCTGTAGTGTGGAAGCCTGTCCAGTGTTAATTCACTTAGGAGAGTTGCAGAATAGTGATAGCTTTGAATTGGGAATGAGAATTATTCTGTAATATCCTTTGTATATTATTGAGCTTGATTTGAGGAAATTTTTGAGATGTTAAGTGTTTTTAATTTTTTAACAAGATAGAAATCTGAACATAGTCCCAAAATTCATAAATGTTAGCCAATAAAGATTTATAGATACAGTGTTTGGTATAATATTCCTGGGTGTATTACTGCCATAGAAGTAGCATAGATTCTGCCATATAAGTAATAAATAATTGGCAGTTTTTATTTGTTAAATCAATTGACTACTTTTATTTCATTAGCACTGAACTAAAAGGAGGGGGAAAAACATGTAATAGAAAAGATTATTGCACAGAATATGTAAAATGCATTTGTTTTTTTAAACTACTATAATTATTGAAGCCCTGGCTAAATTAGAGCTTTCCTTAGATAGCAAGAGAATGCATTCATTTATTTCCATTGTCCTATCTGTATGTAGGTAAATGAGAATTGTGAAACTGTTTCAGTCATTGGTAATTTAGCATATGAATCATATATATTTTTTAATCTTAGGTAAAAATACCCTAAACAGTTAGCAAGACTTTGTTTCATTTATTAGGCATTTGTTTTACTAGTTAGGTCATCTACTTATAGTATGATGTATTTAACTCTGGTAATTTTAAGTTCATTATATCTCAAGTTCATTGTGCCCCCCACCATGGCTAAATCAACATTTAGTGTCCATTTATCCTTGCTTTATTATAACTTACTAAAATTGCAGAATTTTGGACCTAAATGAGAAATTAGAAATCATATACTCTAAACCTCTCATTTTACTGATGAGAACACTAGAACTGAGGCATTAAATATTCCCAGTTTTGGAAAACTGTTATTAAGTTACAGAATTAGTATAA